GAGGAATTTTTAAGGGAAGAATTGATTTTGAATAGTGATATGATGAGAAATGTGTGATTGAAAAAGAAGAAAAAATTATTGATGTGATGGAAAATATTATTTTATTGAAGAATGTGTGGTTGAAAGTGAGAATTGATTTATTGTAGAATTTGAGAATCTCTCCCAAACACCCCCTATATATTTTATCTTAAACTTCGTGCAAATGCATGGAGGAGGATTGTCACATGGAAAGGTAAAGTTGGAAAACTAAATAACATCCAGAAACTAATGTAGCAAAGTTATAGCGCAGAGTAGTCTAATTCAATACTCGACTTCAAACTAGATTATAAATTACAATAGAGTTCAACAACGTAGAAATTTAGCATTCAAGTTAAGGTTTCATTATTGAACACCATCTAAGTCTTTCTCTAGCTGAAAAGTTCAAACTGTTTTTGGTATTTTTGACTTCCAGGAAAAACAAAGTTAATGTACAGAGCCATCATGAGTTCTATGAAATCTTTGAACCATATCACGTTACTGTTGGGTGATTCAAAACCCAACTATCAAATAAACTTTTCGCTGGAGAGATAATAATATCTAAACCAAAATCGATATAAAAAAATAGTGAAAAATCAGATAAACTTACCTATATATTTTATGGGCAATATATCCCTCCTTTACTTGATTTTGCTTATGTGAAGTGTTGCATCTAGAGAAATTTGTTTATTCTTGACATTAAAGATTGATTTTGCAGGATATACCTGATATTGCTGGGGACAAGATATATGGCATTAGATCTTTTACCGTTCGATTGGGCCAGCAGCGGGTTAGTTACCAGTTAATGTCGAATTCAATTCTAGCACAAGCTTCTGTACTGTGTATTTTCTCTGATTGCACTAAGTCATTTTTGCAGGTCTTTTGGATTTGTATTTCGCTTCTTCAGATGGCTTATCTTGTTGCTTTGTCAGTGGGAGTAATATCAACCTGCATCTGGAGCAAATGGATAACGGTAATCTACTCTTCTTCGAATATTGTACATATTCACAATAAAGGGTTGTTACATTCAATTTGCAGAGAAACTGTAATGACATGTTTGGTAAGTTAGATTGTATGACACTTGACAATATTAAAGAAGAAAAAAGAATTTTTTAAAAAGAAGCTAAAATCTTGTTCATCATATTGTCCAATCGTGTCTAGTATTGCATATTGTTGGGGCAAACAAGTCCC